AGGAGCCTACATACGTAATACCAACCCAGTTTTCATTAAGAGAATCGTTTTAACTCAAAAAAAAATCAGAAACAACATGTTTAAAACTAGGGGCTAAACTAAGAACCTACGCACATGCGTTATAGGTATTATAAAATATTATAGGTATTATACGGTACTATAAGGTCCGTGTACGGAGTATTATACGAGTCAGCCACCCCTCGTCACTATGCATATACTGGGAAAACAAAGGCAGGACTCACGGGTAGGCTGTTTCATTTTGGAGGGTAAGGTTCTCGGTCATGTCGGAGCGCATTTAAATTGAATATATAGCCAATCCTAAGATTAATAGTCGTTGTCCAGGGTTTTGGCGACACCCGGAACCATACGTGCCTCGCAGAAAAAGTTTCGTGCCACTTTCGTATCGCCGGTCCATGTTTCCGGGCCCTGCTGCGGCGAGGGGCAGCAATCTGCGACCGCACCCGGTTGAGTGGTGACTAGGCTGTCTTATTGTTAGTAAAGTTAAGGTTTGACTTTTTACAGAGCATTCCGGTGATCAATGATGTCATACATACTGGTGGCGCTTCTCACACTCCTTGTCCGGACGAGCTTTCACTGCGGAAGTATCAACTCTTTCGCAGTAAGTATTACTAGGTAGATGAACGCCAGATAGACCACGTCTCGCGTAACAGGCTACGCGATATCTCACAAAACACTGTTCGATACCTTGTTCGACAACCTCATGAGACTGACAATGAGCGGTTGTCGTAGGACCTCGAGAGACTGAGCGGTTCTCGCTCTAAGGTATGCTACGACGCGCCAGGCATACATCTACCTAGGCCTGCGGCGCTGACACCCGAGTCCGGCCAAAGGCAGAGTCGTCGAAACGCCAATAGCTTAGAAAATGGCAAATTTCAGCCAATAGGGTTTTATTTTGACGAGTTACCAAACGAAGACCATCAAATATGCGAGAAATGACATGCATTTGTTTTAGGGTCATATCCGTTAGGGATGCGCGAAAGTCCGCTTTTTTCAGTCGCCGAATCGTAATAGTGCGGGAAAGTTGCCTTTTCACATCCGAAATCTAAACGTAATTTTATTTTCATGATCGGACTTAATCTTGAACTCGAGATTTAAGGAACCGAGTCAGGAGACGGTCCGCATGCCATGCTCCTCCCTCTCATTTCCGAATAAATTTTCCGAAAATTAATGTTTTTTTTAGTAAAAACGGCTAAATTTACTTACTCTAAAACTGTTATTAGATGGCGGAGTAAGGTATTTGAAACGTGGTCCAAATCGTTTTTTTTATGTAGATCACGGATGTGGCCTTAGTTTTTGTCTGTGACGGAATCTGGGCGGTCCAGGCCGAATTTTCTGTCTTTGACATAAATGCCCATAAGAACCTTACATTAAACTTCAAGCTCAAATCTCGAGTTCAAGAATTATTCCGATCGCGAAAATTAAATTACGTCTCGATTTCGGATGTGAAAAGGCAACTTTCCCGCACTATTACGATTCGGCGACTGAAAAAAGCGGATTTTCGCACCTCCCTAATATCCGTGTGGACAGACAACTCTCTCTAGCGCCCAAACGGTTGAAGATAAAGCAAAACGGACGAAATTTGAGGACGTGGGGCTTAACTTTCACGAGTTACTTCTACAGTAGATGAATAAAAAGTAGGGTTCAAAGGAAATTTTAAGGGCTTTCTTTTTGTTAAAGGTTAATTTTTGTGCTGGAGGGTTCACAATCGGGCAAAATCAAAAACCTACGGGTTCTAGTTTGACGAGTTAACCCTTAGGGAACCATAACAAAATATGTAAAAGTTAGCAGCATTTTCTTCATGCCTATTATTAAATAGCCTGTTTTCGGCCACTTCTTGAGCTAGAGGGCTCAACATCAATAGACGATGAAACTCAGAGCGTGGCAACGTCGCAAATCTTTCTGCTAGAACTGCGGGAGACCCGCGCAGAGTACACCAAACGACATAAAACGTCTTTTTGGTCATTCTAGAGAATTTTAATGATTTTTATATCGGTCAAGAACCTTACTTTGAACGCTGTTAAATACACGATGCAACGTTGTCACATTAAAGTTTTGCCCCGTCCGGGTCACATCGTCTTTACAGTTCTTGCTTTTCATAATGCAAGTTACACTACAAATTTTAGGTACCCAGCTCAAACCGTTCTTGAGTTATCGTGCGGTCACACAGACAGACGGACAAAAAAGCAAGCAGACCCGAAACTTGTTCATCATCACTGAAGTAATAGGCAGGTGCCGTGTTTTAAGCAAGGACCAATTAGTCCAAGTAGATGGACGGGATGGACTACGCATCCTGGACCCCGCTGTAGTGCACTTACAACTGGGCATGTCAACACGCCGCTGACATGCCGGGTCCCGCTTCGGCTCTCCTTGGCCGTGCTCGGGCCGGGTTCGGGTCCCACCTCGAGCCGAGCGGGCTGCAGCGGGGCTGCGATAGGACTGCATAGCGGACACTAGGGCTGCGGCTGACAAGGGAACCCCACCAAGTGTAATTTTCCGATTTTCATTCTACTTTGGGAAAGTGTTGGTCTAAATGTGGCATCGAGAGACACATCCAATTTTTTTGCTCAAATTCATATTTAGGGGTTTATTTTGGGCATTCGTTCCCAAAGCTGCTTTTTCAACAATTGTTTATAATTTTCAAGAAGGCTTCCTATGGGTTAACTCTTCAAATTGCGGTTTTTTGGCGAAAATTTCGTCCGGTTTGCTCTATCTGAGGCCGTTTAGGCGCTACCGCCACGTTTAGGAGGGGAAATGTACGGCAATCACTTGGGCTTAAGAGCAGCGGTTGTAAAAAGCAGTCCCACAAAAAATGTTATAAAACAAAAGTCGTAGAAAAATGTAAGCTCTTTAACTTTTGTTTGATGACATTTTTTGTGGGACTGCTTTTTACAAACGCTGCTTTTAAGCCCTAGTGATTCCCGTACATTTCCCCTCCTAAACGTGGCGGTAGCGCCTAAGCGACTTCAGATAGAGCAAAACGGACGAAAGTTTCGTCCAAAGGCGGGCCGCAATTTGACGAGTAACTCCTTAGGAAGCATTCTTGAAAATCACTCTTATGCTACACAGGATCACATGTAGGCCACATACATGTGCAGAGTTGATCTTTCAGGCATTTATTGAATAATCTTACATACTAGATCGTTTCTCTTCTGGCAATAATATTAATGCTTTGTTCGTAAAAGACATTTAGTCACAATCCTACCAACCTAGGTTAAGACACACAAGACAAGCACAAGTTTTCATACGTCGCATGTATGTGGACTGTCCCCATACATGTGACGATGACACTAACTTATAAGTCTTAATTGGTCACATGTATGTGGCGGATGTTTCTCAGAACACATACATGTGCGACACACTTGTATGTGGGTGCACATACATGTCACATGTATGTCGGGCCTATGACTTCAACCACCACATACATGTCCCCGTCGCGTTCGTATGGGCGACTTGTATGTCACATGTGTGTCACATACAAGGGACTTGTATGTTTAGGGTTTCACGGGTCTTAGCCTGGGGAGCGGACTACCGAGAGCAAGGTGTTCAATGTTGGGATGTTACCCAGACGCGGCTCAAAATGCAACATGTGGTGTTGAACGATCTCCCGCCTCCACCCCTGCACCGCGGTGTCTGGTAGAAATGGGTTCGTTTAAGAAGACGTTCCACAAGGATGCGATTTTATACTATATGTATATGACACAACATCCTTATTAGAAGCCATAACTTAGACGAGGCCCAACAAATCGCCAATGAAATTTTATCTGAAATTTCACTATTCTTTGCCTCTCTAAACCTTATTGCTTGAAATTTATCAAAAACAGTACTCATATCCTTCAATACTACCGAAACTACAAATCTAAAAGTTAATCAAGTGCAGATTGAACAAGTAAATTCATCAAAATTCCTTGGTATTTAAATTGACTGTTATCTGAAATCGGACAAATATATTGAAAGAGTTATCAAAATTGCGTATAATATTTGTAATCTGTCAAACCAGCCTAACGGAAAACATCTAGAAGGTCCCCTCACTAGAAGCCCCCCCCCTAATATGTTATTGTTATTTCATAAGCACGTAAGTACACCAACCCTAATTTTACAGGAGACACTGAAAACATTCCAGATTGAAGATCTGTAGTGGTAACCAAATCTGCTTGGCACACATAGGAAGCAAAAATTACCAGCAAACAAATGGTATCAAAATATTTTTGTAAAAGTTAATAAGAGACACTATAATAGCACTACACAGAGAAAAATATTTCTGTCCGGGCACTAAACGTACGTCTAATGCTCCCGACTTTGTCCCAGCTCAAAATGAGATAGTGACCTGTCATTGAGTTTTAGTGCTGTGCTCTAAATTTTCTTTGCCTGGGATGCTACGTTTAGCTAACAGCTCTAGAGGTACACTATAGTGCAACGAAAAAACGTCGATCTGGGGACTAAACGTTTTGTGCTGAGACAGATTTTTTTTCTCACTGTAGTTTAGGGCGAAAACAACGAAAGTCCACACAGAGCAGTGTAAAACAGCGAATGTCCATGGTTCAGCAAAACAAAACAGCGAAAATCCTGGTGTGGGCTGACATAACAGCAAAACTCCACAGGCTTTTTGGGCTTTCGCTGTTATATTAGCCCAGACCTGGACTTTCGTTCCTTTTTTTAGCTCACACATGGACATTCGCTCTTTCAAAGGACTAAACTGTGGACTGCGATTTTCTATTTAAAAACTTCAGTATAAACATTCCTGTGTATTGTTTTCCATTTCTGCACAACAGTATTATACACTAAGATGTTGACTTTAACGTTTTGATGGGACAAATAATGAAAATGCTCTCAAAAATACTTACAAAATACCACAGAAAAAACACAAGTTAACTTACTTCTTTTTAACCAGCACATTCATAAGGCATGCCAGGTCAACCAAAAATGTCACCAGAATAACATTATCATCACTGGTGGTAAATTAAAATCAGGAATAACCAAGTAAGGTTGAGATCAGAAGGTCAGAAATCAAGTATGAACAATTCTCAGCCATATATGGCTTGGCTTAGGGTCCACTTAACACGATTAACTGGAGACTAGTCTATTTGCATCAAAGACAAGTGTATTTGTACACAAGAACAGCTGACTGTTGACAGTAAAGTCAACTTTACTGGGTAGATGTACGCCAGACCACGTCTCGCGTAACAGGCTTCGCTATACCTCACGAAACACTGTTACGCTGCGACGCGCCTGGCATACATCTACCTAGGCCTGCGGCGCTGACACCCGAGTCGGGAAAAAGGCAGAGTCGTAGATAGGCCTTCGGCACTAAGGGCACAAATTTTACCCCCAGGATTTTATTTTGACGAGTTGCCCAAGCAGATACCACCAAATATCTGAGAAACAACATTAAAATGGCAAACTGAATCTACATCCCTCTTCACACTAACTTTTACTTAGACCCTTTAAAACACTTCAAAGTAAAGCAGAAACAGAACACAACCCAACTCTTTTTATTTATCAATAATTTGTAAATTATCTATATATTTGCGCAAACAATGTGATGCGTCCTGTGAGCTCCCCACTGAAATATTATAGATAGAAATAATTCTTAAATTTGTATCATCTGCTTTCACGATCCGTTCTTGAACGGCACTTATTTTTTGAAACAGCCCACTCACGGGGTATAAATGACTTTACAAAGGCATTAATAATTAGCTCCACCCTTAAAAAGCATTTAGTCGCGCCAGTCCTACCCTAGCTTTTCCAGTGGAATGTCCTGGAAACGTACGGCACACGGAAATGTTGCTCAGAGCATGTATTTTTTTTACTGTAAAGGGACCGTTTAACGTATGGATTGAGAGAGCTGACCCGTGCTACGAGGATGATAAACGACTGCACATTAAGTTTTCGCACTACAACCCAAGCAAAAAGTTTGAACCACAGGTGTGGAACGGTATCGTGAATTTGACACGAGCAGTGGATGATACTTGGTGGGTAAGTTGAGTTGTTCAATTGTGTAGCTTGTAGCTCCCAGCGCCATTATTAACCCCGATTTACTTTGAACGGATATACTTGCGGATTCCTGGTTCAGAATTAAAACATTGGCAAATCACAAATTCTTTGCGTGAAGATCCCAGGTGGAACACAATCGTGAAAAACCCGTCTCTGACACCTAATTGGTGACAAAATGAGGTCAATCTGGCTACCTCGAAGCAGTATAGTTTGACGGTGAACGTCAAAATGAGGTCATTTTGACATCATTTTGAACGTGTTCCACCTAGGATGTCAACACGCTGGTGTGCACTCACTTCTGAAAAGAAATCATTCCGAAATTAGTCCGGATATCGGATAGTTCACGGAAAAGTCCGGGCGCATCGGAAGATTCTGAAACTGTCCGAAGCGCGCGACCGGGTAGCTTCCGGGACAGTCCAAGATGTGGGAAGTACACGAAAATAGGCGAGACAACCAGGAATCGTTCCCTTACCCCGAGGGCTTATGATCCTCAGACCGACGCTCTTAACAGTTGAGCTACGGTGACGGCTGAGAGGAGGCACCCCATGAAGGCCCCTTCAACAAGATGTACACGACAACCCAATCGGAACATCGCGATGCGATTTTCGAGAAAGGCTTTTACATAGCAAAACGGGTCTCCACTGTGAAATGTGACAAATTTTATAAATTATGATTACGATATTGATTTGTTAAGTTACGAATTCTAGGAAGTAAATTTGCAACAAATTTTGTAATTTCTATTTATGATTCTTTATTGTAAGAATACAACATTTTTCATAAGGCAACGAAAAAAGTCATAAGATTACGAATCGCATACATAGAAATTATTTACGAAATTTGTTAGTAAGTTATGACATTTTCCAGAAAAGTACGAAATTAATCGTAAAGTTACGACTTAACCTCCGAATGAAAACGGAAATTTCCATGAAGTTTCGAGAAATGTCGTAAACTTACGGAAAATATCGTAAATTTAGAAGAAATATCGTAAATTTAGAAGAAATATCGTAAATTTAGAAGAAATATCGTAAATTTACGAGGAATGTTGTAAGTCTTTGACTGGTGAATTTGAAGGTTTCGTATTGCAAATTTATGACATGCATCTGTGAAACGATGAGTGAGTATTAGAATCTTACGCCTTTTTAATAATAGCCAATTACAACATTTACGTGTTTAAAAATTACAAACGTGACCCGTAAAAGTACAACAATTGTCATGGAAATTTTTTCCGTGACCACCAAGCCTTTTTTTCACAGTGCTGTTCAGCACAGTTAAATTCCTGCAAATGCAAAACTGGCAAGTATTTAGATTCTTCGTAACTACGAAGGATTTACTTTGCAAATGCATAGTGATGCTCTGTGATTGCAAAGCAATGTTTTTTAGCGTTGTTTTCATTGCCGTGCAATTGCTAATCATCACTTTGTAATCGAAAAGTAAATGCTTCGTAATTAGGATTTCAACAGTGAGGGTACAAAATTGCACGAACTTCACAAGAAAATTACACAGTTGTGACACACTTATAAAGATTAAAAAAAAAATTCACACAGTGTGAATCTATGTAAACCTGATATGCTTGCCCGTTTTTTAATTCACCAACGCATAGAAATTGCTGTAAACTGGCGTATAAAAATGCGCAAGAGTAATAGATTTACAGAAATGTATAATCTGTGAACATAAAAGGCAAGTTCATATATCAGAGGTTCAATATAATGTTTTGGGGCCAGACCTGTGAAATGAAAGGGTTTGCAAGAATCATTACTACACAAAAACTACATGCCACATCGCTTTAGGATTAAAGATGTATTATGAGCATAGATAGACGCTAATTTTGCCGTTGGCGCCAGTACGCACACTCTCCAGGAACATGCCGATCTTCGCCTTCAAGTGGAACGATGCAGTCCTTCTCGGTGTGCATGATTGCAGAACATCGGATGGGTCGGCGACGGTAAAAAAAAATGCTGGTTTCTCTTAAAAGATGCCCCTAGTGGTTGACCTGGGGGTTTCGCAAATTTCAAAACAGAAGTACTCGAAAAAAATCACAATGGACAAAACAAATTTTTCAATTTTTTCGTATTATGGCAACATGTTTTTGGTCGAGTACTTCCACCTCGAAATTTGCAAAATCCCCAGATCAACCACTCGCGGCATCTTTTTAGAGTTAGTAGCAATTTTGTTGACAGTCGCAGCTCAATCCGTTGCAGCACAATCGTGCACACCAAACAGACTAAATCGTCCAGTTGGAGGTGAAGATATTCATGTTCTTGGAGAGTGCGCGCACCGGCGCAAACGGTACAGTTAGCGTCAATCTATGCTGTTAATACACATTCAATCCCAAATTGATGCGGCGTGTAGTTTTCATGTAGTGACTATTTTTCTAAACCCATCAATTCACAGGTCTGCCCCCTTTTAATAATGAAGGCTGTGAGGATGGAACATTCCGAAAACTGACCGGGCGAAAATTTCGTCCGTTTTGCTCTATCTCTAACCGTTTACGCGGTAGGGTCTTTATAGACGAATGTAGGCTAAGCTAAAAATAGCCATAGTAAACAGTAAGTTGTAGAAAAAGGCCTAAAAACTGCAAAATAGAAAGAAAACTCTCCCCCAACCCCCAAAAAACGTTTTCTGAGCAAAAGAGTGGGTTGTAGTCGCGGTGTTTCGCCGTTACATCCCTTTCTCGAGTCTTTGGGGCAAACTCAAAGATAACGGGTTTAAGCGGGCCGAAGACCCGCTACATCAGTCGATCATGTTCATCAGCAAATCGCGAGACAGAAATGGTCGGGCTGCAGGCCCGACTATTGCCGCCGGCAGGCCAAGCAGGCCCGGCCCCTGCCGGAGATGCGGGCGGAGTGAAGCTGGCAACTTCGTTTGGCGGAAGGGCGGGCCTGCTTGTTTCGGACTGTCCTGGTTGTTCGGACTTATTTCGAACATGTATGGTTGGGACTCGGATCACACGGACTGTCCTGGTCCACATTTGGTACTGCCCGAGGCATTTGGACTGATAATGGAACCGTCCAAGACGAGTTTCGGAATAATATCGTTCTATAGGGGGGCGGGGCGTTTGCTTTACTGGCATTTTTAAACTCTTTTTGGCGCACAGATCAAGGCTCCTTTCAGCATTCGCAACAACAACCAGTGGAAAAAAAATGCAATTGTGCTGACCGCCTTGAGAAACGGCTGCAGTGGCGCGAGGAGCGTCATGCCATCGGATTTACAGGAGTTGACTACGAAGCGCGGGACACCATGCAGGTTCAAGCAGGTGTGCGGCCAGCCTAGTGTCTCGTAAGAATACGAAGGATTTTCTTCGCATTACAAGGCAATCGTTCGCAAATAGTCTATAATTACAATTCGCAAGGTTTCCACAGTGTGCGAACTAAATTCGCACCTTCCTTGCATTATTATAATTTTTACTGTCGTTACATGTTAATATTTCTTTCAGGGAGTGTTCTATTTTCGAAATTTAACTGTAAAACTCGAGTTTCCCAAGTTCCCACAACTACCCTATGGCCACTACCGTATGGAACTGGAAGCTGGGCAGCAAGATGAAAAGAAAGCGGAGTATTGCTTCAAAACTGTCGCCCATGTTATCCCCAAATTATAAGACAAAGGATGTCGAAGGATACTGGACTCATGTTATTAACAACAAGCAGGGCCAGGATTTTACCGAGATTTGCTGGTCTTGGTCCTGCATACAGAAAGACAATATCTCGGTTTACAAAAAAAAAAAAAAGATAGGCACGCCCTTCCGCCAAACGAAGTTCCCAACTTCACTGCGCTCCGCAGGCAACTCCGTTCGGCAGGGGCCGCCGGCGTTTGGTCGGGCCTGTGACCCGGCCTTTTAGTCACTATACACGAGTGAACTACGGCAGAAGTTTTGTCTGGTGGGAGGAGATGTCAGACATATGACATCTTCCATAATACTAAATAGGGCAGAGCTGCTAGGAGAAAAAGAGCTTTGGGAAAACATTTCAAAAATCAATCGAGGATTCCAGTTTTCTTTACTATCTTAAATCAAGTAGAGATCACACTGCAGACCAACAAGGAAAGAATAAGTATCTTAGAAGCAAGGTGTAAGGAGCTGGAATTAGTAAATGAGTCAAATAAATTCAATATGTCAAATCCTCTAAATTTGTTAATGAATGCATCACACCAGCCTTCGAAAAGCCATGTAGAAATGTTGTTAAAAATTTATCAAAATTAGTAATTGAAGGTGTATTTCGATTTCCGGAACTAGTGGACTTTCTCAAGCCTAACAATTTTCCACTATAAGTATCAATATCAGAATATGGCACTCGGACGCAGGAAAAGTTCTGCTATGATGCAATGACAAATCAAATTGTTGGTCCTGTACTGCCTCTCTAATAATGGTGTAAAAGTTTCGGGCAGCTATCCAGCAACATCAGCTGCCATGGTTGTGTCTCACCTAAAAAATGGAAGAGTTGCGTCAACTGGATATGCAATCATGGCGCAACCTTTGCAGGTTTATACAACGCATCTTCCCCCTCAATCGCAAAATCAAAGCTCAACAACTACACAGCTTGAGACCCATACATCTTCAAATATTATAAGAAAAAGCACATAAAGCATTCCGATTATGCTTAATTGCAGAAGAATGCAACAAAGAAGAAAACTGAAATGACTATACTTTTCCAAGGAACTTCCGTTTTCTTGTTCCCAGCATTCTTCAGCATTTCGGCTTTACCGGAATGATTTATTGGCAGAGCAGCAAACTCTAAGGCTATTTCAATACAACAGTGACAGAAACAAAAACGCAACACAGCTGTTGAAGAACGAAAACTCAAATTACAAAACTAAGTGGCGATCAGCCAAAGCATGGAAGTTTAAAACTAAGGGAGGGTGGGGCGTGGCGAAGTGTGTAACAGATTTTGGAATTTGGCTATAAAAGTCAAACCATGAAAAATTTGGGGGAAATCGGTCGCAAAAGAATAGATTGGACCTTTACTAAACATGAAAGTTGCTCGGATGTATTACTGGGCGCATTCCCGTATGACCGACAGCTTGTGATTGATAAAAGGTCTGTGTGTAACGAAAGTGGGGCACTGTGTAACAAAGGCTAGGATTGAGCTCTAAAGACGGGTAGAAAGGGAGAAAACAGCTTCCACTTCCTTTGTTGGCTGGCTGAGCGATTAGCGAAGCCTATTACTACTACTACTCCGTCTGGCCGGAAAATACTTTTTCTGTCTGTCTGTCTGCCTGTGTGTCTGTCTGTGTACCTGTCCGCACAAAAACTCGAAAACGAATTGAGCGAGCGACCTGGGATTTTCAGGGTCGTTTTGTGTCATAAAAAGACAGATCGAGTTCGAAGATGGGCATTCTAGCTCAAAAGTTGGATTTTTCAAAAATAAAAAAAAAACGGGTCCCGTTTAAGAGTTTTTAAAAAAAAATAAAAAAATATGTTTTGCTAAGAGGTAACTCATCAAAATAGAGCGCTTCTTCTGACGAAAATTGTCTCCGTTTTTCTCTAGCTCAAACCGTTGAGGCGCTAGAGGGTATTTTTGACGAATGTAAGCGGAAAATGTACAACCCTGAATGCTTAGTCGAGGTGTCGGGCCGTTGACGGGCCGTAGGCTCGTATCTTTGTGCACATTTTTGCACTACCCGACTCGGGTGTCAGCGCCGCAGGCCACGGTAGATGTATGCCAGGCGCATCGCAGCGTGACAGTATTTCGCGAGATATCGCGAAGCCTGTTACGCGAGACGTGGTCTGGCGTACATCTAACTTGTATAATAGCTGCTGATACAACAACTAACAGTTTATACTAGCTATATTTATGCCAGACCACGTCTCGCGTACCAGGCTTCGCGATATCTCACGAAACACTGTTACGCTGCGACGCGCCTGGCGCACATATAGCTCGGCCTACGGCGCTCATACCCGAGACGAGTTAGTGGGACGGTACTCGGAAACAGAGCTTTCCAGCTCCAAAATTTGACATACTCACTCACAGCCTTTGTCGGAGAGTTTTTACTCCAAAAATGGGGAAATTAAACGTCTACTGTCCGGTTAAAAGTACGGACTAAGTGTTAAGTAAAAAATAACGTTTTCGTGATACTAGATAATCTAGGGACTCTTGAGCTTAAAGGAGTGTGTGGATCGACGTTAACTGTGTGGTTTTAGTATTACTTCCTGCGCAATGTTTCAATAAAAGGCATTTTTTACGACTTAATAGACAAATTTTAGTTGTTTTCACCTTATTTTTGTCAAGAAATGCCCTCTAGCACCCAAATGGTACAAGATAAAGCAAAACGGACGAAATTTTCGTCCAAGGGGTTCTACTTTTACGAGTTACCCCTTAGGGACCCATAAAAAAATATTTGAAAAAGAAATAATACTTTGCGGCCTGTGTTTTTTTTTTTTTTTTTTTTTTTTAAAGTCAACTTTTGAGCTACAATGCTCATCTTCGAACTCGATCTGTCTTTTTAAGATACCAAACGACTATGAATCACCTTCCGTCTTTTTTGGCCCAAATTCAATATTTTTTCCATTATTTCCGCCCCTTAAGTACCCTAGAAATTGACACAAAATACTACCGTCAGTCGTCATCAACATAGATAAGAAACAAATATACCGAGTTTGGGCAAGATCGGGAATTTACACTTGCCTAAGCCCCCGTGTCAGCCAAATACAGTCAGCGAGACATTTGGCTCCCGTCTCGCGTTTAAAGTACTAGACTCTTTAAGCAACTTACACAGAACACCAACAATAAATGGTGTATCATTAAAAGACCAAGATGAACGTCTTCATGTACATAAACTACGTACTTCTTTTTAACAACTTTATTGCGAGAAGATACTCTACCTAAAAAAGTCAGCGTTTGGGTACTTCGATTGGAGTGAAGTCCACATTCGTATCGCTGTTGTTTTGGTAGCCTTTAACGGTTTCTGCCCCACCCATTGTACCAGCTTTGCCTTTCGCTGCGTTGACCACTGGTACCGTTTCCACAAAGACCCTCATACATGATACACATCCGGTGTTATTCTCCACTTCGATAATTCTGCCATCAATGCGCCATTTGCCGTAGAAGAAAGCCGGGAACTGATTCGTCATGCCCAAGTCTACAGTGCAGTTACGAACTTTATACATGCCCTGTGTAACAACAATTTGTAAAAAGGTACTGGCAATTTATTAGATTTAAACACTGTGAACCCGAGTGTGATACAGACTGCACGTTTTCTCCGATACAGAACTATCCCAGCTGAAAAAACCACGTACAAATCCACGTAGGATTTCGAAGACTTTCCACGTGGGTTTCTTATAAGATTCCCAATTGGGAAATTTTCCATGTGGTAATTGGTTACTTTCCATGTGGGTTTTTACAAAAACCCACATGGTTAATTTTCAAAATTCCACGTGGGGTTCTCGAATACCACGTGGTTCCCTACACCCATGTGGAGATCCTAAGACAGGAGTCCTGAGTCTTAAGTGTGTCAGAAGGTATGACTTAAAGCAACATCCCCAAGTGAAATTGGGCTAAAAACGCCGAATATGAACTCAGATTTTAAAAACGGTCATTAGTTTAGAAGATACCAGCATGCCTCAAAATAACAACTTCAGTTTTTATCACATGACCGTGTTCTATGCAATCTATCTTTCCTAGGAGTGTAGTCAATTTATTTGTAGGCCAACCCAATTTAAAGTTACGGTTGGTAATAGAAAACCCACGTGGGTAAATCAAAACCCCATGTGGAAATATAAGAAACACAGGTGGTGTCTTGAAACCCCACGCGGTAAAGACAAAACACACGTGGAATATAAAAACACCACGTGGAAAATTACGCAATCCACATGGAGATTCGATTATCCACGTGGGAAATACAAAATCCACGTGGAAATATACTGAACCCACATGGAAATGAGGATTGGCACGTGGAAAGAGTCGAAACCCATGTCAATACACATGGAAACACGTGGAAATTTGTAAAATCCAGGTAGAACCACGTGGAAAGCGCTATATCCACGTGGGTTTGCACATGGATTTTTCAGCTGGGATTGCACGATTTTCTGATTATCATCGCAGAAAAAGTAGAACATTAAACTCATTGCTTGTCTTTTTGATGACCATCCCATCACTGGTTCGGGCGATACAGTCAGTGGTCCATATTTCGGACATGAGCCATAATTTCGGACAAAATTGGGTCTTTGGCTTTAGGCAACCGTAAATCCGATAGTTTTTCACCAACTTCAACTTCCGGGACGTCAAATGAAAGGTGAAAAAGTCCTCTTTAACATACGACTGGTGCGGTCCCAATCCGACTTCTCCCCATCGAAGGTCAAAAACCGCTCGTTAAATATTTGCGACAAAAACCTTTGTTCAACTTTTCCTGGTGAGCACTGAGGTGCCGTGTAAGATAGGAGTCTAGTTTTTGGATATAGTATACTAGCACTATTTCTGAGCCTACCCCATTTTTCGGATTGGTGATGCGGACCGTCGTTTTGTTTCTGTGGACAAAATACGAAAAGGCCCCAATTTCGGACACTTTTGAATCGGCCTACCGTTCCTTCATAAGGTACCAATCAAAGTTCTATCTATGGGTAAACACGTCATTTGACGCTCCAGGACCAAAATTTCGTCGGTTTCCCTCTATCTCTTATAGTTTTTCAGATATAGCAGAATTTTAAGTCTTTTTAAAACTTTTGCGTTTTTTTAAGAATTTTAGATGCCACCATTTTTGAAAACGCCTCTTCAAACCCTATTCTGAACCAAAAATGTCGTACGAGGGCTTGTCTTCATCAGAAGGACCCGCCCTGCCCGCCTGTATCTCTAAAACTGTTTTCCGAGCCAGGACATAAGCGCCAAACGGTTTTGTCCGAAATGAGAAACAGTTTGTCCGAAATTAAGAACCTCCTGTTCCTAATTTTGGACAGAACATTTCGGGCTCTTGCAGACAAACAAATTCAGGTATAAAACTTTGCACTACGGTAAAAGGTAGGGCCAAGGGTCTAGTTTCTTCGTTCCCGCGCCGAATTTCGTATCTCTAATAAGTCAGGAGTTATCAAGAAAATACGACGAATTTCGTCCGAAATATGGGCCACTGACTGTACTTCGACGTATCATAGATTTGTGCAATGTGCATCACACCGTGTTGCAATAATGGAATCACCCTATAGCACTAACTCATCGTCACCAAAGAGTGCACCCCTTGTCAACAATGATTTTCTTGTCAGTTTTACGACCATTTTTTTACGGTCATTTTCAGCGTGGGAATCGCAAAACACCAGTTATCGCATGGTTTTGTGGTAAAGTGTCGCAAAACCAGACTCAGAGAAAAGCTTTGAGTGATAAATTAAATAACTCAGTTAAAGAAACACGCGAAATTTATCGTAAAATCTCGTTTTGAAAATACTACGTGACTTCGGCCGACCCCCCCCCCCTACCACCCCGTGACCGATCGTAGTATTTTGCCGAACCCCTTCCCCACCTAAAAGCGGTCACGTAGTATGGGTACGATCCCTAGTCGATCCTCCATAAGACACGATTGGTTAGCACCCCGAACTTACGTACAGACCATCCTTTAATATACTACTCCAAATTAGGTTAGGTTGTGTTAGGCACTCAAAAGACACCCCTTAAAATAGGTAAGGTTATGCTAGCACTCCCAAACTTAGGTGAGAGTTAGACACCCCAAGATACCTCCTAAATTTAGCTTAGGTTAAGTTAAGGGCCCCCAAGATAGAGACCGGGACAGGAGTCACTAAATTGGATTCCAAAAAAGGCGCTCTCCCAGGAGCAACTTTAGTCAGTCCCCGACTTTTAGTGAGACCGTAAAAGACGCTTTTTGTCCTCCGCCCCCCCCCCTCCCCGGGTCAAATGGATAGTCCCAAAAATGACCATCCTTTTAAAGCTGCGGGTGTCGTCACATTGTTCAACATGTGAGAAAACGGTCACATAGCTTAAATCGTGATGTCCCAATCGTTTCAACGTGACTTAGCAGGGCCAAGCATTGTAACTCTTAAGTTTCACGAAAAAAGTGTAACACTTCACTTAGCATCCAAAACAAATAGACAGTTTTAACAGGAGAGGGAATGAAGTCAAATGAAATGAATAACAGATCTACTAAAGTAACGCCAGCAACAAGGTCTTTTCAAAAATCTTCAAGATTCAGGACTGTACTAAAAGAGAGATCACTTGTACTCGTACCGGCAGAGGGGGTTAATGTCAGGCCACCCAAGCCTTATAACCAAATTCCGTCAGTAAAAGAGGCTTCGAATTGTTCGTGACTTACTGGTGGAAAAGGACAGTCCGCTGAAGCATTGTTCGGATGTATAGCAAGCTGGGCATTCTTCCACTGCCTAGCAAAGTACATTTTGGCACTTTTGCACAAGCGTTTCACCTTAAAATTAAATGCGTTTTCTTTCCAACCACCTCGTGACGACCACGAAGAGAATGCCAATTCGACCTGCCACGAGGAAAAAAAATAGTTAATTTTCGGGTAAGAGATTTAACAATCAAAAAATCTATTACAATTAATTATTTCACTGGTAGAACAAAGGCGCTTAAGAGCGCCTAAAATTGGCCCTCCACTGTGAATCAGAGTGTGATACAGTGGCCACTCCCACAGCCGCTCCTCTCAGCTGCGTTGAGGTACCCCTCGCTCGACCCAACCTGGTCTGGCCTAGGGTTTACCCGGGTGGATTTTTTTTTCCGGAAAATATTGAAAAAATCCGATTCTTTTCGTAAAAAAAATCGTAGGCTAGGGTTCAGAAAAAATAGAAAAATTGATTTATCCTAACCTTTTTCGGGCGGCCCCGTCCCGGCATTCGTCCTACCATTTTTAGCCTGCCCTTCTGCTTTGAAAAAGCTATCCAGCGGGCTTATGCAAACGACCTCGTGT